ACCTGCACTCCTCTCCCTCCAGCAGCTTCCTGTAGGTCGCAATCTCCACATCCAGAGCCAGCTTGACATTCATGAGCTCCTGGTAATCCCGGAGCTGCCGGGCCAGGTCTGCCTTGGCCTTCTGCAGGGCTGACTCCAGGTCAGTCATCTTGGCCCTGGCATCCTTGAGGGCCACCTCCCCGCGTTGCTCAGCATCCGCGATGGAGCTCTGCAGAGTCTCACACTGCAGGGAGAGACGTGGATGTGAGAGAGGGGCAGGGACATGGATGTGAGGATGAGAGGGGCAGGACATGGGTGTGAGGACATGAGGGGCAGGACATGGGTGTGAGAATGAGAGGGATAGGGACATGGATGTGAGGATGAGAGGGGCAGGACATGGGTGTGAGAATGAGAGGGGCAGGACATGGGTGTGAGGATGAGAGGGGCAGGGGAACTGGTTGGAGATGAAGCCCCAGCTCCCTTGTACTCAGCTGGGCACAAGCTCAGCAGGTCCCTCCCTGCTCGTGATGACTGTTTCAGACTGTTTGCTTTCAGGGCAGCTCTGCAGGGCAGGACCAGGAGCTCACACCCACTCAACCAACTGCAACCCTGACCTGTTTCTTCACGCTCTCGATCTCGGAGCGAATCCTCTGGATGACACGGTTGAGCTCAGAGATCTCGGCCTTGGAGTCCTTCAGGCTGTCCCCGTGTTTGCCTGCGGTGACTTGAAGCTCTTCGTACTGGTGGGACATTGAGAAGAGCACATGAGGACCCCAATGAGGATGCCCATGTGAGACAAGGAGTGAATAGCACACTGGCTCCAGGCTGGCCAGAGCAGCACCAACAAAGCCCCATGGTCTGAGCGACCACCAGTAACTCTTCCACCTCCTTGGACATGGGGGATCACAAGCAACGTGTGGCACGCTCACCTTGCTCTGGTACCAGGATTCAGCCTCCATTCGGCTCCTGTTGGCAATCTCCTCATACTGTGCTTTGACCTCTGCAATGATGCTGTCCAGGTCCAGGTTTCGGTTGTTGTCCATGGTGAGAACCACAGAGGTGTCAGAAACAGTCTTCTGCATCTCAGACAGCTCCTGCAGTTCACACCAGACGTGGCTTTAGCCCACCATCAATTCCTTATGGTGTCACAACCTTGCTCTACCCCAGCACCCCCCTCCAGAGCATCTGCACCACGTACCACTTCATAAAGGTACTTCAAGAAGTTGATCTCATCTGCCAGAGAATCTAACTTTGCCTGAAGTTCCACCTTGGTCATGTAGACTGTGTCCACATCCTGCAGCAGAGATGGGAAGTGAAAACCTGCCCGATGCACACCCAGTGTGTGCTTCACTGGGAGCCCTTTGGTGCTCCTTTCCCTGTGGCACACACAGCTCATGGTCCTGGTTCGTGTCTGATGGAAGGAAGAAATCTCCTGGCCTGGGCTGTGTCTGGGTGTGCAGAGCTAAGGGACTTTACCTTTTTGAGGAGCACAAAGTCGTTCTCAGCCGCTGTCCTTTTGTTTATTTCCTCCTCGTACCTGTTGGTTGGAAGGAGGGAGATGGGATCTTGGGTGCTTCAGCCCTGCCCATTGCTGGCACCCAGATGCTCTTGGCCTCAGACTAATGAACACAGCAGAAATAGAAGTGCCAGGAGCAGATTTAGGGCCTTCACCTTCCTCCCAGCTTCTGCCACCTCCAACGCCTGCTAAGAGGAGCCCTATCCCTGCCCAAACCAAGTCCTGGTGGCCGTGACCACACTAGCTCCTTCCACAAGATCCAAGGACCTTCAGGTCCTCAACATGGGCCGTTCCTGACTGCTCACTGGGGCAGGTAATTGCTGCAGGGTGTTGAGTGGTGGAGGTGCTCCAAACCAAAGCCAACATTCAACCTGCAACCTCAATAGAGCAAAGGATTGATCCTGGTGGGCCCCAGACCTGCTTCCCCACCCTGATGTATAACCCCTTTGGTAGGAGCACCTCTTCAGGCTTTGTTCTCACTTTTCCAACTGGACAAATACATACATAAGAGCAGGAAAATCATCTTTGTCTTTCTTTGAACCCCACAACATCCTTCCAAGGAAAGCTCTGAGCTTCAAACCATGAGGATATTATGGGAAGGAATCCCTGAGGAAATCCAGGAGGAAATTACAGTCGGATTTAGCAACCAATCTCATTAATTCATTAAATCATAATGCTGTGGATTCTGGAGTGAGGAGGACAAAGAGCAGAGGATGGTGCTCGAGTGAGAAGCATAACCCCAACAACAATAGACATTGAGAAATACCTGGAGAAACCTCCACCCATGGTCAGAACTGGGTTGGTGAAGACTCCCCCAGACATTTGATGTTGTCTAGTCATTGAAACCAGTGAGATGTTGCCAATTCTCATGAATTCTGACTGTTTCAAGCCAGGTTTTATCTCTATCTCATCCCCACCAGACAGACCAACCGTGACCCCTGGGAACGTACTTGGTCTTGTAGTCTTCCACCATGTCCTGGAAGCTCTTCAGCTCTGACTCCAGCTGGCTCTTCTCGCTGGACAGGGTGTCCAGCTGCCTCCTCAGCCCATTGATGTAGGTCTCAAAGTAGGGGTCGAGGTTCCTGCTCCCTGTCCCAGGGCTGCCCTGCTCCTGCAGGAGCTTCCACTTGGTGTCCAGGACCCGGTTCTGCTGCTCGAGGAACCGGACCTAAATGATTGCAGGATGGAAAAAAGGTCAGACTGTTCCCAAAAGCATCTTTTATTACCTTTTTTTCCCATGTTTTCCATATTTTCTTCCCATTTAATGAGTTTAATCTGGTGGGAAGTGTCCCTGCCCGTGGCCATGAACTAAATGATCTTAAGGTCTTTCCCAACCCAAACCATTCTGTGATTCTATATCCTCTAAGCTCCAGGGTCTCCCCCAAAGGTAGGACTACACCTGCAGCACATGGTTGAAGGTGGGTCACCTTCCCTCCCCAAAAACCATTCTGTGATTCTATATCCTCTAAGCTTCAGGGTCTCCCCCAAAGGTAGGACCACACCTGCAGCACATGGTTGAAGGTGGGTCTCCTTCCCTCCCCAGTCTCACGGTGTCTAAACATGAACTTCATCATTATGGCATCTTCTTAAAAACAGGTCAAAACATCCAAAGTTCTTCAGCCCACAATGGACAGAGTCCATCAGCAGAGACTCCTCTGAGGATGCTCTGCATTGTCCCAATGCTTAGCACCAGGTCTTAAGAACCAAGGGTCCTATTCCTGGAGTTCTCCATGTCTTGGGAAAGCCACTTTTCCAGCCACCAGCTCTGCCTGCAGGGGCCTTTGAGGTGGTTGGGGCAAGGCCTGGCTGTTCCTGGTGTGGTTGGATGGGCAAATCCCCGTGGTGGGCCCCCAGCTCTCACCTTGTCAATGAAGGAAGCGAATTTGTTGTTGAGCTGCTTGATCTCCTCACGCTCCTGAGTCCGCACCTTCTGGATCTCGGGGTCAATCTCGAGGTTGAGTGGGGCCAGCAGGCTCTGGTTGATGGTCACCTCCCTGATGCCACCCGGTGGGCAGGCGGGGAAGCCTTGTCCCCCCATCCCACTGTCAAACCCTCCACCAAAGCCACCAAAACCACCACCGAAGCCTCCACCGAAGCCTCCACTGAAGCCTCCTCCAGACCCACCACCAAATGCTGCCCCAGCCCCATAGCCATAGCCAAAGCCTCCTTGGCCACCAGCTCCAAACCCTCTGCAGACACCACCAAACCCTCCTGCAGAGGCGTTTCTATTGCCCCCTAAGGCAAAGAGGCTCCTGCTGCTGAAGCCACCAGTGTTGCCGGACCCCCGGCATCCTCCTCGGGATGCAGAGCTGAACGTGACCTTGTTCCTGCCTCCGAAGCAAACAGAGTTGGAGCTGAACCCTTTTCCTAGGCCACAGGACTGACGAGACATGGTGAGGGGTCCCCAAGGGCCAATCCGTGAGGAGACAAGAGCTGAGCGGAGCTGTGCACAGGAGGCGAGTCCTGCGGGTTCAGCGTCCGATCCCCCCTTTTTATGTGCTGAAGGAGTTGGCCATGTGTCAGGGGAGTGGGGATGTGTCCTTGGGCTCTAATTCCAGCCATTGTTCTAGGGCTTGGAAGAGTTCCCTCCTCCCTTTGCCACCACCGTGACCTGCCTCAACACACTCCCTCGAGAGCTAAGAAAAACAACACTCTTGTTGGTGTTGGATTCCAACAGAGAAGCTGTCAACTCGTCACAGACCTTCCTGAGCCTCTTGAGGCAGTGACAAAGCACCACAAACACCTTGACACGTCACAGCCTGGAGGAGACCCTTGTTCCAGCAGGTCCTTTGTGCAGAGCCGATGGCAGGGGCTTGGTTCACCCAATCCCGACCCAAAAGGTGGTTTCCCAATTGCACCCACAGAGGCACCCGGATTCTATGTGCTGCTCAGAGGAGCTTTGACTCAGGTTGGGGCACAACCAGGGAGCACTGGCCCTTGGCTGGGCTCTAAAATCAGGTTTGTGCCCATAAAAATGACTTAGAAACACTTCTAAGAAGGTTTTAAAGTCACTTCAGAGCCCTTTGAGCCTGGAGGGACCTGCAAGGACCCTTCACCACAGGGTCCAGAGGCCACCACCAGCCTGAGGAGCTCAGGTGCATGTCCCTGAGGGCAGGTCCCGGTGCTTGGAAGCATTCCTGGCATTGCCAGGATCATTCCTGAAGGGTGTCCAGCCACAAGCCCCCTCCCAGCACATGGCATTGGAGGAGCTTGGAAAGAACACACAGCTCCATTGCTCAACTCTCTGTTAGTGATGGAGGTGTATGGAGGAACCTCCCAGCCCAGCATCCCCCTTATCCCACCCTTGAAACGGGCTCCAGGGCCATAAACCTCCCCCCAAACCACAAGCTGAGGCTGTGACCATCAACCAGCACCGTAGTTATCCCTATTGGAGATGCTCCAGGGACAGGTTGGAGGAACCAGCCCCATTCCATGTGGCTTTGTCTTCTGCAGACATACAAATACGTGCCTGGTGCATCTCTTCTCCTCCTGAACCTCACGGGACATCCCTTAAGCTGCAGCATTCCCAGCCCATTGCAGGAAACGGGAATCGCATGCTCCCCTTGGGCAGGAAGTGCCCTGCACACCCTGATCCCGCCTGGAAACGCGTCTCCCACTCAGGGGCTCTGGGATTCCCGGTTTCCTGGCTCATGGTGGAGATGTGGAAGTGGCTGGATCCCATCTAGGCTCGGAGGCGGCGGCTGCATCTCCCCGGCCTTACGCAACTGGCTGGAGAACCGACGGAACCTGTTGGAGCAGAGTGCGGAGCTCCAGGAGTTCCCACCGGCTCCTGGCACCTATCCCGGCTCGCTGGATCAGCTGTGGGGCTGGCAAAGGTTTCTGCTGCACCCAGTGGGGTTCTGCTGCACCCAGTGGGACCCTGCCCCACTGGGTGCAATGGGAAAACCTCGCAGGGACACAGGGACTCCTTCCCAAACCTTGTCCCACATCCCAGGGACGAACATCTCAAATGCTCCAGCACTCGCTGGGGGGTGTTGGTGCACCAGGGGAAAAGCACCAGTGAGAGGGATAATCCCTGGGGACCCAATGTTTGCCACCATCACCCACCCAGCACTGGCCACCATAATCCATGCACCATCATCCACCCAACGTTGGCCACCATCACCCATCAGCACTGGAGTGCCATGGCCATGGCCATGGCAAAGCCTTGGGATGAGCATCCCAGGGTGGGCTGCACACCATGGAGACAATCTTCCTCCCAGAGCCATGGGATGGGGAGTGGAGACAGAGCCCAGGGGATGACCTGGCCCCACTTCACTGCCAGCACCTTCTCTCCTGCCTCCCCCATGAGGAAAGGTCGAGTCCCAGCAGCTCCTCTGCCCTGACATAGATCAGATGTTTCCCAACGTCCTCCTCTTGAAGAGCAGCTCGTGGCTCAGGAATCCAGATACAATCTCCCATTGGGTTGCTCCCAGGTTTCAGGCTCCATCACTGAGGACATGGACACCCTGAGCAGGCGCAGGAGCTCCACACACACATCCCAGGGGGAATCTCCTCTCTCTACGGACCGCAGAGGAACCCCTGAACACACGCCACAGAGCTCCTCCAGGCCAGGCGGGAATGAGGTGCTGGAAAGACAAAAGAGGATCTTCCCATGGAAAGATATAAATAACCAACTTCTGCTTGTCCTGACCCTGCCCAGAGGTGGGACCTCATCCCAGCAGCGCCCTAATGAGCTTCCCTGGAGCTCGGCAGAGCTGCAGCCCTGGGACAGGGACCCAACGGGCTCCATCCTGGTGGCACCGGGGTCACCCTCCTCTGCTTGAGGGCCTCCAGTGCCCCATGGCAGGAGATTCCCCATCCCTGGAAATATTCAAGGCCAGGTTGGATGAGGCTTGGAGCAACCTGCTCTAGTGGAAGGTGTCCCTGCCCATGGCAGGGGGTTGGAGCTGGATGAGCTTTAAGCTCCCTTCAACACAAACCATTCCATGCTTCCATGGGCCATGATAGGATGTGACCATCTCCTTCACTGGGCACCATGCCCAGGGACTGGGATTTATCCTACTGGGGGCTGATGGTGGTTCAGCACCTCTCACTGGGGTCACAGGGAAGCAGCCCCCTTGCCTGCAGCTCCAGTTTGTACTGGGATTATTCCAGAGCCAGGGAAGCTTCTAGAAGCCGCCAATGGGCACCATGGGCTCATTGGTCCTTCTGCTTCTCCCACAGGCAAAGAGAGGGAAGAAGGAGAGGAATGAGTCTGAGAGCTCTTGGATGGGACAAAGAAGGGTGAGAAGAGGGAATGTGGCTCCCGAATGTCCATAGCCCCCGGTATTCCCTGTGCCCATGGGAGAGGGAACCACTGGGACAGGGTGGGACCATGCCCAAGCACAGAACCCAGCACAGCCAGAGCGGGAGCAGCCAGAGGCAACGCACTGGGAATTCCTGGGCAGGGAATTGCAGGGCTGGGAACCAGGGAGCAAAGGAACGAGGTGGATCCCGGCAGGTATGTGGTGATCCAATACAATCCTCAGAACAGTTACGATGGAAAAAGCAGGGTTCAAGCCAGGTTTACAAATGGAGAAAAATGATACCGGGATCAGGGTGACATGGGACATCCAGCACTTGGGACCATGGTGTGACATGGGACACCCAGCCCTGTGCAGCATGGGCACCTCCACGGGTGTCCATCCCAATGTCCATCTCACTTTGTGAGCACAAGCACAGACTGGGGGAC